CTGTTGAGAATGAAAACGATCAGGATTTTCATTCTCAACAGCACAAAAGTAGCACAAATTTTTGACACCATTTTTGTCTGATTTGAAGAAAGATACATTCATTTGACAATATAAGAGATGAATTCATTTTTGCTGTAAGATTATCTAAAATTAGTTTTTAAACAGTCTCTAGAAGTCCAGTAGTTAATTATATGCGGAACTGTCCTGCTTAATATTGTGATATCACATAGGCTGATGTGTCATCAAAGGCTTTTGGAACTTCTGTCAATAAGAGAGCAGTTCTACGCAGAATTCTCACATTTGTGTCAGTTCAGTGCAAGATACAAATCGCTCAACATGGAGAGACACAGTGAAAGTAAGTATTTTTGTTTTTTAACTTAGTAAGACAAAGAAAACAGATGTAATTTTTGTGTTTATCTTTTGAAGAAATTGTGACAGCAATGTTAGAGATAGTTTACCCATTACAGGCTGTGAATAATCTGTTTTTTAGCTCCACGTCAAATTATTTTAGTTACTTTTGAGTCTCTATTACTCGTGTCCTTGGGTCACATTCACAATTTTTTTCCCCCAATTGGCACAATCTGCAGTGCTCCAAAATATTTTTCTGCCTATGTAAGTCACGTAACATGAGTGTCCCAACTCTAAAAAACCATATATAACACACAAGTGCACCTCAGCAATTGATGAGGTGAATCAACGAAAATGCAAAAACTCGTTTTCTGTTTAAGGCTGTGAATAATCAGTTTTTGAGCTCAACATCAAATCATTTTAGCAACTTTTGAATCAAATATTGAAAGTGTCAATTGTGCTTCTCGCAGTTTTCTTGTATATTTGACAACTTCATTGAGTAAACATGAAAACGGCATTAAAATAGTAAGACATTTTACACATTTTAAAGCCATTTTATGGTTTTCTCACGTTACATTTTAAATTCACTTTGATAGGAGATTAATAATCTGATCAGCTAGTGATCCGGCCTGAAATCTGACTTGGTAATTGACTTTGTAAAGACAGCTACAAAATCGGCCTTCTGTCCAGGGACGATCCAAACATGTTTGGAATCATGGGTGAAATCCCTGGCCCCCTGACTGTACTCAATATTAACAATTTGCTAAATTGCAATGCTTAAGGACTTCAACACTTGAATCTTGATTTTACTTTCACTCTGAGCAAAAAAAAAAATGTTCTGCAAAACCTAATTTAAATAATTAACCTTAGACAAGTGAACATGCTTTGCAAAATACTTCTCCTTAACATTTTTTTCTTTGCAATTAGTGAACAGACCGAATAAAACACATTACAGAGCTTCAAAATCACAAACTTCTGGAAGTCTGGGGGAAACTAATCTGTTCCACAGATTAACCTGGTGTCATGCCTTCAAGACAATACACAAGGCAAATCTGACCCGCCTCAACAGGTGTTACGTCTATTTGCGTTACCCCATCAGATACGTTCCTAGTGCTCATAACAAGCACGCGCGTAACAAGCACGCGCTTGTTCAGTGCTTTCACAGAGCGCGTTCATCTAGAGAACTACGGACACCGTGAAAGCTCAAACAACGTCTTTCAGCGAAGTTGTCGTGTGTGTGTATACATATATATATATATATATATATATAT